GCGCGGGGCCGATGGGGGCGCCTCCGCTCTGCGGGCGGCCTGCTGGGCGGGGCGCGGGGACCCTGCTGCTGCTGATCAGACTGGTAGCCGTCCCTGCGCGGCCAGTCCTTTTGCCCGGGCAAGGTCACAGCGAGAGTGACAGCCGCGGGGCGGGCCTTGGCTCCCGTGCCCGGCGCTCGGCCACCTGTTGGGTCCGGCGGACCTTTTCCCTCTGCAGCATGCGAAACCCCACTCGCTGCAGGAAGGACGAGAGCTCTATTCTGAGGGCAGCAGTCCTCAGCTTACTTAGGACGGAGTTCTTTCTGCCTCCTGCTCACTCGGCAGGGGTTGAGTACTCTGGCTTTACATTTCAAAACTAGTAGTGGTGACTCATAAAAATGAACATTGACAAGTAGACTTCGGAGAGTGATTAACATCACATTACATCAGGTGATGACGGATTACACGTAGGACCTTTAGCAACCAAAACAGGATAAAACCCCACACTGCTGTGGTTCTTGGTAGCTGGATTAGGTCTAAATCGGGGACTGCACATAGTGGAGAAAAGAACCTCTTGGACTTATTATTTATGAAATGGGGTTCTAGTCGGTCATCAAAATGACAGGGCAGCTGCATCATACGGGATTGCCTTTGGCTGCGGGGAAGTTTCTGGGTCTTCACCCTTAACTCTGCCTTTTGTTGGGGTTCCTAGATTAAGCCTGATCAAGATGACAATCTCCCAAAAGCACCTGGACTTCGTGGCGGAGCCCATGGGCGAGAAGCCTGTGGGGAGCCTGGCCGGCATCGGTGAAGTCCTGGGCAAGAAGCTGGAGGAGAGGGGCTTTGACAAGGTGTGAGGGGTCCGCTGCTTACCTTGAGCACTGGGGGTGGGCAGTCATGATATTTGCTGGCATGGTGGGAGGGTGGGGGTCAGCATACCTGTTAGATGGGGGAGAGAGGGGCTTACTCAGAGCCAGAGCCTGGTCCCCGCTAGAGCTGAGCTGAAGCAGCTGTACCTCCTTTTCCTCCTGAGCTTTTGTGCTTTGACTGCTCCAGTCGGCAAGCTCCTGGACCCCACCACGCGTTTGTGGCAGCCCTTTTGCTGTGGCAGCCCTTTTGCTCTGCGTGTTTTGCAGGCATATGTGGTCCTTGGGCAGTTTCTGGTGCTAAAGAAGGATGAAGACCTCTTCCGGGAATGGCTCAAGGACACATGCGGTGCCAACGCCAAGCAGTCCCGGGACTGCTTCGGGTGCCTTCGCGAGTGGTGCGATGCCTTCTTGTGAGGCTGCGCCGGGAGCCCCCAGACCCCAGCCCTGAGGCTCCCCTTCCGTCCTCTACGAAGGAGATTGGCGCAAATTGCTGTGGTCGTGCTCACCTCCAAGGCTTTTTAGGAGTCTCTCCCCTCACCGTTTTAACTTTTTTTCAAGTTCCCCTCTCTTGCATGGGTTCCACTTCTCCACTCCTGGCCATGGAAACAATGTTACAAGCTTCCGGAGTGGGTTCTAGGCCCCTTCCCTCACTCTTTGCCCTTCACCTCCAGTCTATTTTTATGCCATTTGGCTCCTTTTTGGCACAATAGTTACTATTCTTGTAAAGTTTTGTAAATCAATAAAGTCAGTGGCCTTCCTGTGTGCTATGTGTGTTAAGTGGGCTGGGAGTCACCTTGTCCCTAGGGACTCACAGATGTCCAGAGATCCTTATCAGCGGGACCGAAACTTTTCTTCCCACTCCCAGAGGGCAGCCAAGTAGGCTCAGCAGGTGCCCTGGAGTGTCTCAATCCTTGAGCAGTGTGCGGGAGGGTGTGGGTGGATGCTTTCTCAGGAAACAGGTGGATTGTGTTCTCCAGTGGCGTCAACAACTGGTCCAGGAAGCACCTGGTGGAGATGTCAGTGGGAAGCAGGTTCCAGGAAGAGGGAGGACCTCCTGGTGGGTGCAGGCTTGGGTGCCCAGGCCGTGTGCTTACTTACCTGGCCTACAGGGGGAGTGAGCAGAACCTGCCTATCTGCCTGCAGTCTTGAGGGTACACACTTCATTCTTGTCCTTTCTTGTACACTTGGTACTTCTGGTCTAGAGCTAAGATCCTCACAAGCATTCACTTTTTCACAATGTTAATTTTCTGTGGAAGAAGAAAGGAGGCCCAAAGAGGCTAATGTATCCATAGACTTGCTAGAAACCAGCTAGAAGGGGATGCTAACAAGAGCCAGTCTGTGTGGGATTGCAATGCTCTTCAGTCAGGTCATATTACATTTCTGATGCTCAAGTTTTCCCACCTGGAAAATGAGGTGGTTGTGGGTCTCATGGACGGGATACATTAGAAAGAAAAAGTCAAGAATTTTATGTTCTCAGGGCAGGGATGAATTTGTGAAAGAAGGAAAGGATGATAAATTCTGTTAATATTCTAATACCTTTTAGAAACTTCTTTGCACCAACCAAACGGCCACCCTGAATTGAGCTGATTCCTGTTACTGGTGACGAATAGACCAATGCTCCATAGTCCTTTTGAATACAGCCTGAGGGACTGTGTGCTACGCGAGGTGGAACGGCGTAGGGTTTCTTAGCTGCAGTCATTACTCAGGCAGCTCAGTGGGCTATTAGCTTCATGGTGGTGGAGAGTGGGTTCACATCACCACCTTTTTTGTTAGCTGAGTGCAAGCTGTGCCAGCCAAGGACTTTATTTATGGAGGTTTCAGTGACTTTTTTTTTTAAATTTTATTATTTTTTTTGTGTACCATCAAATCGGATCTGACTGATACAGGAGGAGGTTTCCCCCCTTCTCCAGCCGAGCATCTGGTGGATTCGTACCATGTACCTCTGGAATTGCAGTGCAGCTTCTTGCCACTAGGCCACCAGAGCTCCCTTCAGTGGCTGTTTTTTTATGGAGTAGATCACCAAGCCTTTCTCCCAAGGGCCCTCAGGATGGACTCCAAACTTCCAGTTCGTAATGAGCACAGTAACCACACCATTCAGAGACCCTCTGTCCAGAGACACCTGAAAGAGTACCAAGTTTTCATTTACAGGGGCAGAAAAACATTGATTACAGATGGGATGCTCACTTATCATAATTGCTGTCAGTAAGCTGTATGTTTGCAAATACTTGAGTTAATTGAAGTTGTATGATAGTCACAACAGTGACGTAAAAAGAGTAGCTGTACTGGATAAATTATGTATATTGTATTGAAACAGATGAGGGAAAGAACAGATTAGAGGTGATATATGATTATTATGATTAGCACAGGAATCCAGAATTAAGGTTGCATAGAGAAGTGTACTAGGGGTGGGGGGAAAGGGATGTGGGAATTGTATACTAATGAAGGAATATTTTCTTTTTTCTTTTCGGAGGCGGGAGCGAGCTGGTGGGGAAGGGTGGGCAGGGAGAAAAGTGTGGCAGTGAATGAATGGAAATCCAAAACCTCTGTAAATGTCTATTAAAATTAATAATAAAAAAAAGAGTAGTTGTGGTGAGCTCTGGTGGCCTAGTGGCAA